TGGAGATTAAAAAGGCCCTACTAATATTCTGACAAATATATTGCACAAAAATAATATCATAACATTTTTGTGCATCTAAATTTAAATTGTATGTGCAATACTAAGAGCCGAAAAGTATTAACTTGATTTTCTGTTAACAAAATTCTGAAGTAACTTTGTAAGACATGATTAAAGTTCAGAAATGAAAAGTTAAGTTTGTAAGACATGATCACAAGTTCAGAAGCAAAAATTTAACTTTGTAAGACATGATTCCAAGTTCAGAAGCAAAAAGTTAACTTTGTAAGACATGACTAAAGTTCAGAAATGAAAAGTTAAGTTTGTAAGAGATGATCACAAGTTCAGAAGCAAAAATTTAACTTTGTAAGACATGATTCCAAGTTCAGAAGCAAAAAGTGAATTTTGTAAGACATGATTCCAAGTTCAGAAGCAAAAAGTTAACTTTGTAAGACATGACTAAAGTTCAGAAATGAAAAGTTAAGTTTGTAAGAGATGATCACAAGTTCAGAAGCAAAAATTTAACTTTGTAAGACATGATTCCAAGTTCAGAAGCAAAAAGTGAATTTTGTAAGACATGATTAAAGTTCAGAAATGAAAAGTTAACTTGTAAGACATGATTAAAGTTCAGAAGCAAAAAGTGAATTTTGTAAGACATGATTTCAAGTTCAGAAGCAAAAAGGGAATTTTGTAAGATATGATTCCAAGTTCAGAAGCAAAAAGTTAACATTGTAAGACATGTTCAACATGTTCAGAGAAATCAGTTTAGTAAGAGATGTTCGCAAGCTCAGAGAAATTAGTTTAGTAAGACATGTTCACAAGTTTAGTAAGACATGTTCACAAGTTTAGTAAGACATGTTCACCAGTTTAGTAAGAGATGTTCACAAGTTTAGTAAGAGATGTTCACCAGTTCAGTAATACAATTCCATGCAGTCAATCATTATTATGATTTAGAAATGAAAATAAGATTTGCTATGAATATGATTATGAAAATTCAATTTGGTTAAATCAACTATAACAAATACTTCAAACAAAGGAATTACTTGAATATCAAGTGAGAAAAGGTAATAAGGTTACAATAATGGTATAGATGTGATCATATATGGGATATTTATAATGTAAAATATATTTCTAACATAATACAGGTATTTCATTTAAAGTTCTTAAAGGGACAGATACACCAGTTTTTTGACCAATTGTATCTAAGTCTCAGAATGGGAATTCAGTGATAGTGTTCACAGCTCACCATCAAAATTTGAGCCTTCAATTCCATGTGTTCAGAATTATCTGCCTTTGAAAGTTCAAAAGACACTACTAGCTAAAATAATAAGAAAACAAATTTGCTGAATTTTTGAAGGAATTATGTGATTTTCGTACATCTCTAGCACTTCTGAAGACTATTTACATATATTCAAGACTCAAATCAACCCCCCAAAATAGCTGACCTGTTCCTTTAAGGGCCCTTAAAACATTTTGATCATCTAGTCCTTCAGATTACTGACCGATATTCCAGCCATCATTATTTTGATTTTTTAAACTTAGCTACCAATTAGATTCATAAATATATGCAATGAGATACATGCTACCACATAATTTTTACTTGAAGATAAAGTATGTAATCTAATAATAATATTTTATCAAATAATAAACACTACCTACATCGAGTGACATACTGACAATAACATAAAACTTTTCAAGTATCAGGATTCGTCGAAAAATTCTGAATCAACAGGGCACCTATTGTAACTAACTGTAGAATTTAAGGTGAAATTGAATTAAATATAATAATAGCTGCTGCTTACATAAAATATTGCTAATATCTACTGTCTAACAAGCCTTTAAGTTGATAAGAAAAAAAAATACTGTGCCATTTATCTACTTTACAATTTAGCCCTTGATAGTATAATACTTAAAACAAATTTTGATAACTAAAAATACATGTATGATAAATACCAACTTGTGATACCCAGGTAAGTCTATAAATAACACAGCATAATCATTATTTTTCATTATAATCCATGAATTTACTTCCCCATTTCTCAAACCTTCACATTTTTTAAACTTTGAATGACTATTATTAAATGGGCACAAAAGTAATTACTGGTAGTACAAATTAGGATAAATTTTGATGAACATTGAAACTTACTCGAAAATGCATAAATTTACACCCATATATGTTACTGAGATGAAATTCACAAAATTTGTTTTGTTTCTACGGAGAAAAAAAAGGCTGACCCAGCTTTGGCCATCCCACTTTCAAATTTTGATTTCCTTTTACATAGCAAAAGAATTGTATGGCCCTTCACCTAATATATCCTAGAAACTCCACTGAATTAAACATACTTTTACAGAAGGACATTACATTACTGTACAGTAACATCAATGTCACGTAATCCTTATCGACAAAGCAATCATTTTGAGTTGAACAAGAGGAGTATATTATGAGACTACACTAGGTATCACAAGACTAATAAATGCTAACATTCTCCTGAGTATATAAATTAAATATCTTTAACAATAGTCTAACAAATCATACACGAGATAAATACAGGTAATTCTATATAATGTTAAGGCATATTCAACAAAAATCTACTATTTTCTTTAACAATTTGAAGTTAACCGATATATTTTAACAACTTGATGGCCTTGTTTTTAATTTTTAAAGGGAAATCTTAAATTTTGAATTTCTTTTATCTGACAATTTCATTAGAGTCAGAAAAGAACTTGTTTACATCTGGGTAAACAACCAACATAAACAAAAACAGTCCTATTCATTTCTGTGTGTTGTGTGTTTATTACTATTTAAACTACTAACAGTTAAAGGTAGACTACCTCTTAGAATGACCAAAAAATTAAAAAAATTTAACTCGGTAAAAATGAGTGTTTGTTTATTAGCAGACTTACCTGGTGCCATAACTATACAAAAGAACCCCTCTATAATCTAATAATCCATAAAACATTGTAATAATTCATTAAACTTAGTCATTTTGAAATATGCTTAGAAGCGTGTTTAA